TATTCGTCCTTTTTCTTTAATTCTGTTTATTTTATTTATTTCGTGTACTGACTCCGTTGACTACTTGTCATATACTACTACCGATTAATTTGTTTTTTTAATTATCTTTTTTTTTGTCAAGTTTTTTTTTAATTAACTTATTTGACCGTATCAACAGTGATTTGTTAAGATACCTTATTACAAAAAGGTTTTATCACATTATTTGACTTTGTTATGTTTTTCTTTTCTTCAAACAAAATTATGTAACGATGTCAACAACATCCCTATTACATTTGTGAAAGTATATTTATTTGTGCTCGATGTAATGGATGAAACAAAACAATTACGTACAGTACTCCATATCACATCCCTTATATATTAACTGGAGAGCGATTTCTTGTAAAGATCTTATGTGTTCTCACCAAATTCATTCTCACAATTTTAATGTGCATGGCATTATCAAAAATATAACATGACATTCATACCAAACTCTTCAAAAAATCTCTTAAAAAAATCGTGAAGACTAAACCAAACCTCTTCAATTGACTTCAAAAAAATCGGAGCAAACCAAACCTCTTCAATTGATTAATTTTTCTTAATTAAAATCGTGATAAATATTTTTATCATACTTAAATATATTTATCATATTTAAACCAAACTTGAATTAAAATCGGATAAATATATTTAACTCTAAAAAAATCGGAGCAAACCAAACCTCTTCAATTGATTAATTTTTCTTAATTAAAATCGTGATAAATATATTTATCATACTTAACCAAATTTGAATTAAAATCGGATAAATATATTTAACTCCAAAAAATCGGTGCAATAATTATAAGAAGATTATAAGAAGATTAACAATAATTAGATTTTACCAAAAGAATTCTCAACAACACAAAAAATAATACAAATAGTCCTTTAAATTATAAAATTTAAAATTCTTCGTCAATGGTATAAAATTAGAATATTCAAACAAATATTCAAAATTTATTCATCATTTATTTAAAAGTTTTAAGTATGGAAATCTTCAATTCAAATTCTAAAATATCGACCAAAATCATTTATTACCTCAATTTCACAAACACAATAAAATCTAGCCAATATGACATGACATTCACACCAAACTCTTCAAAAAATCGGTCCAATATTCATAAAAATATTATGCATATAACCAAACCTCTTTATATTAGCCCAAATCAATTATTATCAATTATTAACCAAACCTCTTCAAAAAATCGGCCAAAATCAATTATTAGTCCAATTTCACAACAAATTGGCCTAATATTCACAAAAATATTCTTCATATAACCAAACCAATTTATATTACCCCAAAATTTTAGAACACATTTTCATATAACTAAATTTTTACCGAAATTTATGAAAAAGAATTAACAAGTTTTTTTAAAGAGATTTTATTATGTTTTATGACAAAAATTTTCAAGTTTAGAAAAACAAAATATACGTATTTAGGGGATTCAATCTTTTCAACTTTTGATAATAGATTGTGCACTC